TTAAGAGGTTTTCCAGTCTGAGTGGCGGGAAGAGGCACTATTCTCGGCTGTGTGTGAGAGCCAGGCACTGCTCCTTCTAATCCTTTTGGGTGATCCCTTTCCCAGCCTCAGGTAGCCTCCTCACAGGCAGGCACTCATCAGTAACCTGCTGAATACTTGAGGCACCCTCCATAGATCTGCAGCTCTCTCCTCTCCAGTACCTTGCCCTGTGAACTCCAGCCTCTTTGGTCTCCCTGGACTCTCAGCTCCATCTCCTCAACTCAGGACGTCCTCTGGGCTCCATCTGGGCCCCCCTCCCCGCATCATGGCCTGGAAAGTCTCTCAAGGCAATAAGCTGGGGCAATTGTAGGGCTCACCTCATTTGTTTCCCATCTCTTGGAGATTACTGTCCTTCATTGCCTGATGTCCAGTGTCTTAAAAACCATTGCTTCATACATATATGTTTTTTAGTTGTTTCAGGCAGGAGAGTAAATCTGGTCCCTTGTATTCCATCTTGGCCCTCAATAGCATTTTTAATGTCTATGTGTACATTCATATTGGGGCACTAATAATAATAACATTTAATTATTACTAATTATTAATTATTTTTTATTACTACTACTAAAAATGCAGTTGACTTTAACTTCCTATGCTGGCAAGCTGTCATTTTTTTCATAGTATATATTTAATAAATGTTTGTCAAAGGTAATAGGCTATAACTCCCTTGTTGTTTTTGTAACCTATTAGGGATGTAAAGGTACTCAACAGAATATTGGTCTATTATAACAATATGGGCTTATAAATTCTTTTGAGGAAATTCAGCACATAACATGTTAATTCAACCAAAAGTAAAAATGCAAAAAGGAGCATAGAACCAGGAATCTGGTAGACTTGGGCCTCTTATTGCAACAAAGATTCCATTCAGGTTCATTCATTACTGGAAGCTAAACCCACCGACTGGAGAAAGCAGGTCAGGACTGTAGACTGCTTCCATTCCCCACGGATAATGTTTGACTGCTTTCAATCCCACCACGGATAATGTTTGACTGCTTTCAATCCCACCATGGATGATCTTTGCATAGGAGAAACTGACCCAACAGAGGGGTCTGCACAGGAATCTTTAGACCCGGGCCACTTCAGCAGTTGGGGCTCCATTGCCATCAGCTCTGTGCCCTGGAGGGGCCTCCATGTGAGGTTGCCAAGCAGCCCAGCAGGACCCCCTGGGGTACAGAGAAACTGGGCCAGACCACCAGCCAGCCTCTGTTCCCAGTCCCTTGGCAGGAGGTGCAGAGGGCAGGCCCACTCAGAGCCAGCTGGCCGCCTCCCACACTCAAACCCAGCAAGTCAGGCCGAACTGCCTAGTTTCTATTCTCTGTGGTTGCACATCCCCCAGTGCAGCCTCTGGTGGAAGCGAATGCAGCTGGCACAAACAAACAGCCCCTCAATCCTGTTCTTGACACGCTGTTGCCACAGTTCAGTTTGAAGGAGTAAAAAGCAAACATAAACCTCAGCTCCTGCTGGAGAAGTTGTTTAAGCTCAAAGAAACCAGAGGGATTGAGCGGCTTGACTGCTCTAATTTCCTCACACATTTCTACTGTCAAACTGCAGGAAAGATCCGCCCTTGGAAAAAAAGAAAAGCTATTCAAGACATCTGTCAACTAATTTCTGAAAAGTCAGCTTCCACAACCAAGGATTCTAAAGAAGGGGGTGTCAGGAGTGCTGGGTTTAGTGACACCCTTCATGGTAACTTGGATGCCGGCTGGGTGGATGGGCTGGTAACAGAGGAGCCTGAGGCGTCCTCAGGCTCAGTTCACATCCACCCAGAACAGGGGTTCCTCACCTTACGGATGCCCTGGACTGCTCTGCCAGGCTGGTGAAGCCTATGGTCACTTCTCAGAGCAAAGTTTATAATGCATAAAATAAAAGACATGAGATTATAAAGGAAACCAATTAGATTGAAATATTGTTATAAAAATAATAATTTGAAATATAGTAATAAATGTGCTTCTTTATTAACACATTAAACAACAAGATCTAGTGGTAGTTTTAAAAACTACCTTTATTTCAAAGTAGTGATGAGTATCCGTGACATTTCAAGATATCTGTAAAGTGATGAGAAAGTAAATGATTTATTTTGGTGATGACATCATAGGCTTTGTTGCCTACATTCGTAACTGAAGGGAACACCAAATTTCAGTTACAGGTTCATGAATAGAAAAATGCAATGTTTTTCTCATCCAAGTTTATAGACCCTTCTGAATTCTCTCAATGGGCTCACCCATTGACCTCAGGTCCCCTAGGCTAAGAAGACCTTTCTTTTACTGGGCTGTTGGCAGAGAGCACTGCACTGGGAGACAAAGGGGCCAGGTCCTCATCCTGGCTCCACTTCTAACCAGCTGGGAGACTCATCCTTCTAGTTGGTAAACCCAAGACTGTGCACTGTCTTGCCTGGAGGGCTTTTCCCAAGCAGTTCTCTTCCTGCAGTGTCTTCCTACAAAGGTTGGTACAGGGTGGGGGCGTCCTCTGAGGTTCCAAAGCACTCCAGGCCTACCCTTTTACTGGTCTTCTCAACTGTGGTGTAATGACCTCTTATGCCATCTGTCCCACCCCTGGCACAAGGCAGCAACAATGGCTCATTTATCACCGTGTTCCTGGTGTCAAGCACAGCGGTTGGTACAGAGAAGACCATTGATATATATTTACAGAATGAACCGATGAATGGATGGATGAAAGCAGTGACCACACCTAGCTTCTCTCTCTGACTGTAAAAATATTCCTCATTTCACGCCAGCAGTTCTCAACACTGGTTATATGTAAGAATCGCTTTCTGAGATTTTAGAAAATACTGAGACTCAGGCCACACTCCTAGAGATTCAGATTCTAGTGGTCGGGGTGGGGTCCCAGCCTTTGGATTTTTTAAACCCCCCAGGCACAGCCAGAGTTGCGAGCCCACAGTATCCCAGAACAGCGGCTGAGGGGAGAGTGTAATGCTCCCAGATGAACTTCTTTCCTAGACCCAGAAAGATGAAATTAGTGCAGAATTCTGAACTCCGCAAGGGGCTAAACATAAATTGAATTTCCGACCCTCAGAGTCAGGTCACAGTTCTGAAACCAGCAACATCAGTAATATCTGATCTACATTCTCAGACTTAGATGAAAAACTCTCGGGCTTGACAGCGAAGACCATGAAATAAACCACAAACCCCATGGGCATACATTCCCCTTGCTCCTTCCCCTCACCGCAAGAAATCCTTACGAACAGGGCCCAGTGCTGGGTAAGAAGCACACCTTTTGGTTGGGGATTCCCAGCTGTGTGGTCTCCTCATCTACCGAGTAGAGAGATGATACTAACGCCAATCTCAAAGTATTGCTGCAGGAACTAAAAGAGGTAACATGGCTGAAAGCATTTTGTAAGTAGCCAAACATGCTGCCGAGATTAATTATTTATTATTGCACTCTACCAATTGAGTTCTCATAGGTGGAAAGACCTTATGGCTCAGTGCTTAAGGACAGGGTTCTAGAGTCAGAATCCCCAAGTTCAAATTCTGGAGCCACCTCTTACCAGCTGTGTCATCTAATGGAAATTATTTGACTTTTTGTACCTAAATTCCTCATCTGTAAAATGGTAATAATAAAGGTACCTACTTCACAGGGTTTTTGGAAGGTTTGGCTAAGTGAACACACTTAAAGTACCCACAACATGGGTTCTACACCCTAAGTGTGCATCAGAATCTCCTGGAGGGCTTGTTAAAACACTGATTGCTGGGTGCCACCCCAGAGCTTTTGATTCAGTAGATCTGGGCTGAGGTCTGAGAATCTGCATGTCTAACAAGCTCACAGGTGATGCTGATGTCACTGGCGTGAAAACCACGTTTTGAGAACCACTGGCTTAGAACAATGCCTGGCGTACAGTGAGCACCTAATAAGTGGTAGCTGTTATTCTCTCTCCCTGGGCTCTACTTTCCTAGTCCCCGAGCAAAAGACTTTATTCTCCAGTGCTAGTCAGTACTGCCTTCGCGTAGAAGCCATTTCGAAATCCTCTACTTGCAGTGGTTCCCTAAGTGTGGACCCAAGAGAAGCCACGTGAGCATCACGGAAGCTTGTTTGTAATGCAAGTTCTTGGGCCCCAATCCAGACCGACTGAATCAGGAATTATGGGAGTGAGGCTCAATATCCTGTGTTCTAACAGCCCTCCAGGTGATTCTAATCCACATCAACTTAAAGAACTACTGCTCTACTAGAACATCACCACAACCACCACAACAACCCTGTTGAACATGTGCAGGAAGGCAGCTTAAGGTCCCAGGATGGGACCTAGCTTAAGGTCCAGAGGATAGTTTTTGGTTGAGCTGGAACCTAAGACCTGGTTTAGCTTCTTAGTCACCTGTAGCCTTACCTGAGTTATGACACTCCTTTAAGCCTCAGTTTCCTCATCTGTAAAATGGGCATCCTTATAGGACCTACCTCACCTGAGATGATGCAAACAAAGTGCCTGGCACATCTACCTGTTCAAAGAATGTTAACTGCCATTGTATCATCTTTATAATTGTTACAATATGTCCTCTCCCAAAATGATTGGAGATAGCTTATAACAAAGACATAAATATATAGGTGCACAGGATTGCTAAAATAAAGATTAAATTTTTTAAAAAATAGAAATAAAAATACCACACACAGAAAGTGGAGAGTGAGGGTTGAAACTGTCACTGCAACTGTCTTCTAAATTGAGGTCTGAACTTCCCTGTGGGCCAGAGCCAAAAGGGAGAAATGCAGAGGGTCCATGGTTCCCACTGCCTGAAAAGAGAAAGGAGACCAGCTCCCTTGGGGAGACAACATTGTCCCTCTGCCACAACACCTCTAAATTCTAGGAGAATCTGATCGCACAAACCTTTGCACAAAAGCCCTGTGAAACAGGAGGGAATCTCCTGCAGCAGCGCTTCATGTATCTGTTTCTTTAATTAATTCTCAACAAGAGCCAAGGGCAAAATCCTTAGATCCCAGATGAGAGATGTTACACTCACTTTGGGTGCCGAATATCAGGGAGAGAGCGATTCAGGGAGATTTTATCACTGACGTAGATGTTAAATCCATTTTCTCGGTACGCCTGATCCACTCTCTCAGCATCGGTCATGGGGTAAGGTCTCCCTTGTTCTCCATTTCCTAGAAGTAAAGAGCAAAGAGCAAATTCAGTGTTGCTAATTGAATGGACTAGGGGAAGAAGGATAAAAAAAAAATGATTAAACCACAAAGATAAAACTTTATACTTGGATACAGAGTGTACCTCCAGATTTTGCAGGGGCAGTGTAAAGAAGGGAGGGGAATGAGCACTTATTTAGCCATAGCTGTGTCATGCACTTTACAGACCTTGTTCTCAAGTAATTTCTACAGCCAGCATGCAGGATGGACATGACAGCCCTCACTGTACAGACGAATAAAATGAGACTTAGAAAGGTTATAAAACCAGGTCCATGGCTTCCAAAGCCCATATTCCCTCCCCTCTGCCCAGGAGCCCCAAACACCCCAGACTGGAGAGTCTAACCACCTGGATGGGAGACCAGGTCTACCACATATGAGCTGATCAATCTTGGGCCAGTCACACTGCCTCTCTGAACAACAGCTGGCTCCCCTCTGGTACCCATGTTAAGAGAGTCCAGTGAGAGGCTGCACATGTAAAAGTTTTTTTGTAAACTATGAAACACTATATAAATATGAGGAAATATTATGATTACTTTCTAGGCAAGGCAAACTTTACATGTAAATCAAAACTGCCACAAACGATAAAAGATGCTTTCATTTTTTAAGCCAGCAAACAAATTAAGATCTGCCTAGCCTTCGCCAGGATTGCCTGAAAAGCGTTGCTTTGAGTCACAGATTTGGGTGGATAAAGGGCAGCTAGCTTTCCTCTCTCTGCAGAATCCATCTGGGGAAAGAGTCCCTGATGCTCCAGGAAGTTATTCTCTGGGTTTGCAGGGTGCATATGGTGAGTGGGAATGTCCACATCAACCCTGCAATAATAGCCCAAGAATGCCATTGGCGAGGGTCTTGAAGAAATGGCAATAAAATTAGCTGGTTAAAAAAGCATCTCCTCTTCTGGGGCTTGCAGTCTGAGCCACACCCCACGTAGTTTGAAAAGTAAATGTTGATAATATCAACTTGATGGGCAAGTGCCAGCTGAGAGGAGGAGCCCAAGGGCTGTGGCTACTCCCATTCAGCCAGACGAGGGAGAGGACTCCACCGTCTGTAACTTGTAATGCTCCATGACAAACACTGCTGGCTAGTGCCCAGGACAGATTCTGCAAGGGACACAAATGCAACAAGCAGAAAAAGAAGAGCAGAAGCATCTGCTTGGGGAGGGAAGCTTCAGGAAGGCAGTACAGGGGAGCAATTTAGAGTTCGGGCCCCAGAGCCGAGCAGAGTGAGGTTCAAAGCCCAGCCCTGCTATCCCAGCTCTGTCATCTTGAGCATGCTTTAGCCTTTCTAAGTCTCGGGTTTTGCCCTTTGTATTAACTGGGATAAGAAGGTTCAATGCGATGATTCAGGAGGTAATACAGGGCAAGGGGCCTGGCACATAGTTAGCACTGGTTATTATTATCCTGAATGATGTCTCCACTGCTCACTCTTTTCCTGCTAGTTAGCCTCATGTTCTGATCATTCCGGTATAACTGTCTGGCAAATCAACTCTTTTCAAATGTTTCCCTTCTTAATCAGCCCCGCCTCCCCAACTCTTCATTTTAAATCACTGGCATACAGAAAAATGCATGTCGTTATGTCTTTGGGTTTCCCTGACCATCAGTTATTATATCAGCTCTATTCAGAGCCTTGTTGTAATCTAGTTTTGTCATATGTAATTAAAAAATCAATAGTGGTGGGTGCCTTTAACTGAGACAAAAATAAATAAAATACGAGTCCCTTATATTTCTACAGTGCTTTCCAGTATTGTAAAGCTACTTCATCCCCATCACTTTACTAGTCACCTTCAGAGCAACACCCTGAGGTTGTCAAAGCAGGAAGCATGAACCCCAGTGACAGATGGAGAAACTGAGGCTCAGGGAGTATGGAACCTCTCTGATGGTCACATGGCTGATAAGTGGTGTCAGAGCTGCTCTCCCGACCCCTGGTCCAGGCTCTCTAGAGATGACTCTCCACATAATTTCTGTACCACCCCACTCCAGCCCTTCCCAACTCCCCAGTGCAACAGGAACTGCTCCTACGGCTAATTAGCCAAAGAAACCTTGAGCTGAAGCCTACTAAATTAATTCAACCTCGTGGAGGCAGCGCTGGGTAGGGATCAACTCTGCTCTCCAGACCTGGGTTTAAGTCCCAAGCCTGCTTCTTTCTCACTGTGTGACTGTGGGCAGATTACCCCACCTCTCTGAGCCCCAGGTCCCTTCTTGTCAAATGGATTGATATGGGGATTCACTGAGGAAATGTGCAAAGTGTGGCACACAGGCCTTGCTGACTCTAGGTGTTCAATAAATGTTGGCTCTTATTATTATTGCTCCTCATTTCAGTGGTAAAATGTCTTATAAGGGGGAGACATTTTCTATCACCCAATAAAGGTGACAGGGCAAATCCTGAAGGCACTGGATCTGGTGATGTTAGCAGTCAGCTAACAGGTGAAGAGGGGGCATCTCGGGAATCAGGGAAGGAAAGATGGCAAAAGGAGAGGGAGTCAATGGGAGGTCCAGACACCCCCACTAAACACACACACACACACACACACACACACACACACACACACGCAGGTGCATACACTCTCCACGGGACCCGCCCGTGGAGGCTCCCGCTCTCCGTACCTACGCGCTGAGCGTCCCTCCTGATGGCTTCTTTGTCGTGCCAGTCCTTCAGCTTTTGCCCATCTCCCAAGAAAAATGTCTTCTTTTGCTGATTGTGTGGGCCCTTAAAAAAAAAAGACATAACTTGTGAAAAAGAAGAAACGGGCAAAGAAGTTTTAATAACAGAGACTCAGAAATTACACTGCGTAAGGGAGCTTTTAGTATTGATTGAACGTCTGTCATCATTTGTTCAGTTATTAATTCCCTCAGTATACCTGTTAGTCCTGCCACGTGCCAGCCAGGTGTGCAAAGGTCAGAAAGATGATGGGCACACAGTGTCCACCCTCCTGGAACTCACAAACGAGCAGGAGAGAAAACAGATGGACAGACATTCCTTTCACCTGAGAGAGAAAGTGGTAAGTGTGGTGCTGTTCAACAGAAACAGAATAATGTGAACCACAAATGTGAGCCACATATGTCACTTTAAATTTTCTAGCATTCACATTAAAAAAAATAAAAAGAAACAGGTGAAGTTAGTTTTGATAAAATATTTCATTTAACTTAATATACTCTAAAATATTATCACTTCAACATGCAATGGAAAAAATTGTTGAAATATTTTACATTCTTTTTGGTACAAAGCCTTCGAAATCCAGTGTGTATTTTACACTTGTGTTTATCTAATTTCAGACCCATTTCAAGGGCTCAATAGCCACAGGCAGCTAGTGGCTACGTGCTGGACAGGGCAGGTAAGTGGACCTTAGATGAGAGGCCTGGAGAAAGTGCTACAAGAGTTCGCTTCCTCCTCGGAGAACCGGAGAAGGTTTCACGGATATGAGGGCACTTGGGCTGGGCCTCAGATAAGCAGAAATGAGAGGCAGGCAAGGCAAAGGGCCCGCGCATAGACTTCCAGGTGCAGGTGCAGAGTGGCAGAGATGGGCTTGGCCTGAGGAGCACCAACCACAGGAGTGGAAATCAGGTCTTGGTCATCTCTACAGCTCCAAAGACGGCCCAGTTTCAAAGACGGTGAACATCTGGCAATTGCGTGTGGAATGTATGAACAAGCAATTGGATGGCTGAAAGAAAACAGGAATATTCAGCAGCCACAAGAGAGCAGCCCCCAGAGGCTCTGAAGGTGTTTATTATGTGTCTGGGAAGGTGAGCCCCTCCTGGTAGGCCCATTAGAAAGCAGTTTCCCTAATTAAAGGAGGCTGCATTCCAGTGTCTGGGGTCATCAGAAGGGGCCAGGTGCTTTCCCACGCCCACAGTCAAGTCTAAAGACTTAGCCTCTGGGCTCAGAGTCTCCCCATGTGCACTTCTCAAGTGCACCACACGGCTGCTTAAATATCTCCCATGTTCACGTAAACAAGAACAGCTTTCCACATCATCTTGCCCATTAAAAATCCCGCAGACTTGCTCTTGCCACTGTGGCATGCAGAATCCAATAGTCCTATTTCCTATGTAATTAACTACGAAGGCCTTGCCTGTGTGGCGTGCTAGAACATTAGCACTAACAAGAAGCCACCGGAATAAAAGCATCCCCATGACTATTTATTAAGTCTCTGGCTGGTCCTTGTGTTAGCAGATTTTCCACAACGGCTCAATATCCTTACAACAGCTCTAATGATCATCACAATCCTCTGCATTCCCTCTCCTACAGACCTCTCTGAGTTGCAGAGAGAAAATTCCGAAAGCTGGCATGCCAGATGTCTTGGTTAGAGAGGGAAAGAAAACCGTGAAACAAAGGCCATGTGCCTGCAAAACTGTTCTTGGGGTTCTTAGAAATCACAGGAGCTGAGCTGGAAGTTTCTTCAGCAGGTTTCCACTGTGCTGAGCTACATTTCCACAGGAGACACCTCAGCACTGCCTTGGGAAGAGGGAGGCTGAGAGTAGGAGCTTGACCCTCTGCAATCAGATCTGCAATGCATCTGTTTTCTGTACTGGGGTTCCATGTGGGATTTCATTTTAAAAAGGTCCTCTGCTAAAAACAAATAGACAGTCAAATCTCCAAACACACGAACAAACATACTTGGAAATGGAGCCAGGGCCACTTCCCTATTTCACAGACAGGGAAACTGAGCCTGGGGGTGGGTCAGGGACCTGCCCAAGGTAATTATTCTACCTCTAGATGTCAAGATTGATCGGTCAAGGGCTGTTGAGCCATCTTTTCTCCAGCCCTCCCTCCCAATTCCTTTCCCTTTTCTGCTACCCAAAGATGGGGAACTTCAGTTGACTACGTTAGGTCACTAGGAACAAAGAGGCTCTGCAAACTGAGGCTGCCTTAATGGAAGGCACCGATCTAAAGCGGTTCTCAAAGTGTGGTCCCTGAAACAGCAGCACCCACACCACCTGGGAACTTGTTAGAAATGCTAATTCCCAGGCCCCACCCCAGGCCTCCTGAAGCAGTAACTTTGGGGGTGGGGCCCTGCAATCCATGTTTCAATGAGTCCTCCAAGAGATTCTGACACATGCTCAAGTTTGAGAACTACTGGTCTAGAATTAAGACGGCCATAATTCTGACTGCTCTGTGCTAGTCAGACCAAACCTGGGCTATTGTGTTCAAGTTGAGCAGATATTTATCACGGATGGTCACAAAAACCTTAAGTATGGTCTGGTAGCAAACACAATCTGGTAGCTTTTGAGGGTTTTTTTTTTTTTTTAATTGCCAATGTGAAAAAATAGGGAGATTCCCTATTATTTTATCAAGATTTTTGGCTTCTGAAAACTCAAAAGACATGTCAGTGCTCAGACTGAGTTCCCTTAGCCCGTCAGCGGGACTGAGCAACACAGCTGCCCTGCTTAGGAAGGGCATGTCTCTCCAGTTTGCCACAGTCCCCACCATTCCTTAGCGCATTTCACCTGGCTCTTACTTCTCATTTGTGCTACTTGCCTGGCCCCAACGAGTCTGCAATGTGCTGCAATATACAGGAATGTATCCTGGATGATGAAGATTAGAAACTATGTTGGAGGAGGACTAGGAGATGAGAAGCTGAGGGGGTCACAGGAGCAATTACCTTATTCTATGAGGTCCTGAGGCTAGAGAGAATGCTAATGGCAGATGTTACTGAATTACTGAGGGACTAGCTTAAGATAGAGAAGAAATTCCAAGAGTTGGATTGGTGCTAGGATGAAACAGGACCACTTGGAAGATGTTAGAGGCCAGGTATAGGATGCTTGACTGTTCGTCAGGGTGTGAAGGAGGGGAATCAAGTGCTGGGTTAAGGCTAGTGCTTCTCAAATTTTACTGTGTAGTAGAATCACACGAGTATCTTGTTAAATGCAGATTCTGATAAAGGAGGGCTGGGTGGGGCCTGAGATTCTGCCTTTCTCACAAGCTCCCAGGTGATGCTGATGCTCCTAGTCCACGAAGGACACTCTGAGTAGCAAGTGCTAGGCAACCTTTAAAGGACATTTCAAGAGTCTAAGATTCCATGAAGGGCAATGTTTCCTCCACATCCTCATGCAAGGCTTCCCACACTACTGGGAAGGGGGCACAGGGTTGAATCTCACAGTTGTGACCTCATAGAAGTAAATTTCCTGTGAATTTCTAAACTGACAGGGTAGAGAATTAAGGTTCCAAAATTCTGAGAGTTTCACACCCATGGCTTCTACCACCTCCACTGCCTTTGCGTTAATGATGTGCATCCCTCTGGAATGATCTGCAGAGATGACCTGTGCTGTTTTAGGTGGTCTCCTTAGTCCTTACATCTTCCAGAAACTAAGAGGATGTCAGAGCTTGCTGACACAGGGAGTTCTGCATGTCTAAGCATGTAGTTACTAGAGGGTCCTCAAATATCCAAGCTAAGCAGCTGCTCAGAGACAATTAGTTCACCCCTTCCCATCTTCCAGATGGGGAAACTGAGGCCCACAGAGGCCAAGCTACTCAACCAAAGCCACACAAGCAGGCAAGAGGAGAGGAGCCAGGTTCTTTGACTCCCACGCTAGTTTTTAGCGGAGAGAGCCCTTGGACAAGCTACAGGAGTCAGAGGCACCTCAACTTTCCCACCTGAAAAATGCAGACAGCATTACTTGCCCAAAAGGTGCTTTCAAATGAACCGAGAAAATCACCAACAGTATATCCTGAGAATATAAACTCTCAGAATTTACACAGAATGTGGATATCAACTCTCAAGATTTTAATAATCTGCTGTAAATTGACATCTTCTCACCAAATCACCTTGATATAGGGTTTCTTTTTTTTACTAAATAGGTTAAATTTTACTATATAGGTTAAAACGATTTCCAATCATAGGTCTGAGCATTTGGCAGGAGAAAAAACTGGTTTCAATCCTAAAATCAGAGTATTCAGAGCCCAAAGCGCCCTTAGAATCCTACCCACAAAACTTAATAGACACTGGGGTCAATTTCAGGTGGTTCAGGAGTCTCTGAGGTCCATCCATGGAAACCCCAGATCATTCAAACTATCACCAAATGTTTATCGAGACCTACTCTGTGCCAGGCACTTTGCTAGGCACAGGGGACACAAGTGTGACAGCACAGACCCCATGTAGGTGCTAATGGGGTTTACGGCCAGATCAGTCTCTCTCAAAGGGTGGTTCTCGGGGGTGCCTGGGCCCTCATTATAGATGCAAATTCCTGAGCCCCACCCTGAACCTACTAAATCAAAGCATCCGGGGGCAGGAGCCCAGGAAGATGCATTTTTAAACACATTCTCCATGTGATTCTGATTTACAACAAAAGTGGAAAACCACTTGTCTAAATGCAGCTGCCTCATTTTAGATATAAAATCTGAGGCGAGCAGAGTAGGACGGACTAAATCCCACGGCTTGTCAGCCCCAAAGACCAAACCAGATCTGAGTGTTTTTTCCCCTGGGATAGACTGTGAGCTTCCTGAAGGCAGGGCATGCCTATTTCTGTTCCTCACTGCACATTCCTAGGCCAATACCTGGCTCATCTTAGGTCCTCAATAAATATCAGCTGAATAAATGAATGAAGGAATGAATAAATGACTGCTCATCAATGGGGCAGGTAATTTACTTTAATGATTCAGAGCATTCTGGTTCTAGAGTTAGAAAACGTCCGTTTCACGTCCTGGGCAGGTGGACCCCAGCTTCCTTGGCTGATAAATAGGGAGAACAGAATACCCTGCGGGCTATTGGGAGG